AGAAGGCCGAGCTGGGCTCCTGCCTCCGCTCCCTCCAGGGCCAGCCCAGGAGACTGGCTGTGCCCAGCAGGCCCCTCTCTGCAGATGTCAACGAGTGTCTGACCATCCCTGAGGCCTGCAAGGGAGAAATGAAGTGCATCAACCACTACGGGGGCTACTTGTGCCTGCCCCGCTCCGCTGCCGTCATCAACGACCTACATGGCGAGGGACCCCCGCCACCAGTGCCTCCCGCTCAACACCCCAACCCCTGCCCACCAGGCTATGAGCCCGACGATCAGGAGAGCTGTGTGGGTGAGTGGGGACTGCTCTGGTGCCTGGCTTCCAGTCCTCCAACCAAGTGTCTTAAACTCAGACCTCATGTTCCTTCCCGGCTCAAAAGGGTCGCTGGTGACGTCCACACCCTCATCCAGACACTCATGTTGTTTGCGACCTGCCACAGGTGGCCCCAGCTTGTGTGCCACTGCTCCAGCCAGCTCCGGCCCCCTCCCCTTGGTTGCTGCAGAGACACTGCAGGAACTCTGCCTTCCAGTGTCTGTCCCCTGGGAGCCACAGGCCTTGGAGGAAGGACAGTCCAGGAATCAGTGCTTCTGGGGGTGTGGACAGGACCTTATTTCCTATGCAACCCCCAACATGCGGTTTTAGAGGTTAGGGATGCCTTTCCTGTTGGCTCCAGGCTGGTGAACTCTTACGCGTGCTGTTGAGAGAACTGGATTCAAGTGTTGGATCTATGTGTCATGTTGGGTGGTGTGCGGGATCCCAGGCGGAGGCTGAGTGGTGTCTCTTGCAGATGTGGACGAGTGTGCCCAGGCCCTGCACGACTGTCGCCCCAGCCAGGACTGCCATAACTTGCCTGGCTCCTATCAGTGCACCTGTCCTGATGGTTACCGCAAGATCGGGCCCGAGTGTGTGGGTGAGTCCAGGGAGCAGCTTCTCTAGGCTCTGTGACCCTGGTCTGGCCCTTGCTCTAGCACCTGACCCCCATTCAACCCACGCTTCACCCCCCAGCCCCTGCCACCTCACCCTCCTGTCATCAGACACAGAGGACTGTATGGGGGTGTATTTGGGAGGTGTCCTGGCTGACCCTGCCCAATTCAGCTCCCCAGACACAGGCAGGATTATGGGTGGTTAAGCCTTGAGTCCCACCTGGCTCGAGCCCACCTGCCCTCTGCCCTCCGCCCTCCTTCTTCTGCCTCTATCCCAGACATAGACGAGTGCCGCTACCGCTACTGCCAGCATCGCTGCGTGAACCTGCCTGGCTCCTTCCGTTGCCAGTGCGAGCCGGGCTTCCAGCTGGGGCCTAACAACCGCTCCTGTGTGGGTGAGGCTGGGCCGGGCCAGGCTCCTGGGTCCTGGGCAGGGAGGTGTGAGGTGAGGGCGCTCCCTTCCTGACCAGCCCAGGTAGAGTGGAGGCTCTGGGCTGCTCCTCTGCTTTCATCCCTGTTTTACCTGGCACCCCCAGATGTGAACGAGTGTGATATGGGGGCCCCATGCGAGCAGCGCTGCTTCAACTCCTATGGGACTTTCCTGTGTCGCTGCCACCAGGGCTATGAGCTGCACCGGGATGGCTTCTCCTGCAGTGGTGAGAGCTCCACCCCTGCTGCGTACTCCTCCATGAGCCCCCAGGCCCTACCTATGCCGTGCCTCCTGCCACACAGTTCTCCATTTGAGGCCTCCACGTCCCGTCACTGTGCACCCAGTTGCCTCCTGGTACTCCACTCCGGCTGGCTGTGGAGCACTCCCAGACCAGTGGGGAAGGCACAAGAAGAGGCAGCTAGGTCCCTACTGAAGCCTACTGGGGCGACTGAGGATGTGGGTGCCACTTGTCCCACGTGTCAGGCTCACCTGCATTTACCTGCATTTGAATTTTGCACTAGGACAACTCGCTTCTCTCTGAGCCTGTTTCTGCTTCTATAGTGGGTTGTGTTGAGGATTAGGTGAGAGTGTGATAGATGGGCTCCAGCCCGTCTCAAGCTGCAGTGCTTTAAAGTGAACTGACTGCCACTTAACGAGAACCTGCCCTCGTAGTGTGTTCCCTGACACACTTGGCCTCCTTCCTCTCAAGAATCCTAGGAGGTATGATTTTCTCCTTCCTCTACAAAATGAGGACATTCAGAGCTCCCTCCAGGTTTGTTGAGAGGATTACATTAAAATAAGCACAAAGTCCTGGGTAAATGGTGACTTTCATTATTCAGCTGAAAGAGGTTAAGTGACCTGCCCGAGTTCATACAGCCAGGATGAGATGGGGCCAGGGCTCGATCCTAGACTTCTCACACCCTGTCAACTGGCACATACCCTCTATGTTATGCTTTGCTGCGGGATGAGGCCTCACTGCTACCTGGCAGCATGAGTGGAACAAGAGAAGGGAAATGGTCTGCCTGTGAAGCTCAGTTAGCTGGAGGTGACCGCTGGGTGCTCGGGCTGACTGTGGGTTGCAGGAATTGGGCAGGTTACAGCACAGGGCGGACCCACGAGACTCATCTAGTCTAAGACACTCATTTTACTGATTGGGAAAATAAGATTCCCCTAAATCAGCCGGTGGGATTCACACCCAAGCCTCTAGATTCCCACTAACTTTATTCAGTGTTTCCTCCAGTTCTGGGCAGAGAGAAGTCTGAGCTGGGGCAGCCTGGGCAGAACTTTGTTTGAACCCTCCATCTCCCGGCTGAGCTTGTGGCTTGTCTCATCCCCCTGTCTTCCTACATTCAGCCTAACACGGGGCTGGGCCTTCTTAGGAAATGTTTGTGGGACTGAATGGTGAAGACTGCCCTTGACCCGGGGTCCCCATCCCCACGCTTCCTCAGATATTGATGAGTGTAGCTACTCCAGCTACCTCTGCCAGTACCGCTGCGTCAACGAGCCAGGCCGTTTCTCCTGCCACTGCCCACAGGGGTACCAGCTGCTGGCCACACGCCTCTGCCAAGGTACAGGTTGCCTGGGTGGGATGGGCAGGATGGTGTCAGGAGCTGGCAGCCTGACGCCCCCGATTCTAGCCCCTCTCCCCTGGCACAGACATTGACGAGTGTGAGTCTGGTGCGCACCAGTGCTCTGAGGCCCAAACCTGTGTCAACTTCCATGGGGGCTACCGCTGCGTGGACACCAACCGCTGTGTGGAGCCCTACGTCCAGGTCTCTGACAAGTGAGTCAATTTGATGCCAGGCCCCGAGAGAAACTACGTCTCCCAGGGGGCTTTGGGGCTGACTGGCATCTATTCGGACAAGTGAGTGCCCCTGAGGGCTGATGGGAACCATAGTCCTTCATGACAACCAGTCACAGGGGTGGGAGGGTCCTTTTGGAATTCCCTTCCTTTGTAGGGTAGGAGAAATTGGGGGGACAGGCAAGGAACTCATTCATGTCCCCCACCTCGGGGTCTCTAGCCGCTGCCTCTGCCCAGCCTCCAACCCTCTGTGTCGAGAGCAGCCTTCATCCATTGTGCACCGGTACATGACCATCACCTCGGAGCGGAGCGTGCCCGCTGACGTGTTCCAGATCCAGGCGACATCTGTCTACCCCGGTGCCTACAATGCCTTTCAGATCCGTGCCGGAAACTCGCAGGGGGACTTCTACATTAGGGTAAGGTTTCTGCAACCCTCAACTGACATGCACAATCTAAAACTGAACTCCAGGACGCCTTAAGGGGGAACTCGGCCAGGCTGCTATGCCCCTCCCCTCCCCAAAGCCCCGCCCCCGGGAGGCGGGATTTCTGTAGGATAACAGGGATATTCTAAATTCCCGTGGTGCAAAGGGCAGATGGTTAAATGCAATTCTAACGAAGCACTAGGACACGGGAGTTTGAGTCCTGGTACTAGTTTTCCATATCTGATCTCAATTTCACCCACAAACCAAGGGAATGGCGTGTGCAGGGGCCTGGGGTCAGAAAGTCCACTCCTTGCTGGTGGATGTTAGGTGGGAGGGGGCCAGGGGTGGCTCACAGTGAGCTGCTCACGGTGAGTGGCAGCGGCATGCATGGGTCTCACCAGGAGAAGGGGTTTGTCTAGAACCAGCGCTTCTCTTTCATTTTGAAACTGAATGCTCTGAAGGGAGTCTGCTGACTTTGGGTCACCAAAGGTCCCACCACTCCCAAGAGCCACATGGTGACCTTGAATCATCAGTTAGCCTGGGTCAGACAGAATGAGCTGGAAAGGGTGGGAAGAGCCCCAGCAGGAGATTTCTGAAGGCAGGAGCCTGGGTTGGGGAGGAGAGATGTTGAGGGTGTCAAAGAGCTGGATGAGAGTCTGGGGTCGCAGCCTGGCCAGGGCTGTCCCTCCACCTCACAGCCACGGGGCAGGGAGGTGACGCTGGGGCAGGGGCCTAGCACACAGGCTGACACAACATATATCCCTCCACCCACTGCCCTGCAGCAAATCAACAACGTCAGCGCCATGCTGGTCCTCGCCCGGCCGGTGACTGGCCCCCGGGAGTACGTGCTGGACCTGGAGATGGTCACCATGAATTCCCTCATGAGCTACCGGGCCAGCTCTGTACTGAGGCTCACCGTCTTTGTGGGGGCCTACACCTTCTGAGGAGCAGGAGGGAGCCACCCTCCCTGCAGCTACCCTAGCTGAGGAGCCTGTTACGAGGGGCAGAACGAGAAAGGCAATAAAGGGAGAAAGAAGGAGTCCTGGTGGCTGAGGTGGGCGGGTCACACTGCAGCAAGCCTCAGGCTGGGGCAGGGTGGGACTTGGGGGGGCAGGCCAAGTTCACCTAAATGGGGGTCTCTATATGCTCAGGCCCAGGGGGCCCCATTGACAGAAGCTGGGAGCTCTGTACCACGAGCTTCAGCCACCCCGAGAGGAGAGGAGGTAACGAGGAGGGCGGACTCCAGGCCCTGGCCCAGACCTGTGGACTTGGCTGGCTTGCAGGGGTCCTAAGAAACTCTACTCCGGAGAGCGCCAGGAGGCCCTGGGTTCCAGTCCTAACTCTGCCTCAAACTGTACATTTGGATAAGCCCTAGTAGTTCCCTGGGCCTGTTTTTCTATAAAAAGAGGCAACTGGACTGTTAGTGGTTTTCAAGCTTTTCTTTTAGGAAGTTTTATTTATTTTTATTTTCCCAATGAGCCCTCTGCACTCCTAAGGAAGTTTTATTTGATGAGGACCAACTGATGACATAAAATCGATTCAAAGCTGCAGTGCCCCACTGACTCCATCTCCCTGACCAGGCAATCCCAGGTCCTAAGCAGCTTTGTTTAAAAACCACTGGTCCAGACGGTATCCCTGGTTCCTGCGTATTTCACAAGGTCCCCAGGGCCAGGCATCTTCTACATAACACATATGGCTGCAAACACTTAGATTCTAATTTTACCACAAAAGATGTTGTTAAAAGGCTGGCTAGCCTGCGTGGGGGTACAGATGGGGGCTGGGGGCTGTTTCACAGCATAAGCTCAGGTCAGGGGGCTGTAGCTGCAGTAGAGCTGGGATAAGGTCCTGCTCAGAGCAGGCCCCAGATTCCTGCAGGAAGAGAGGCAGCGAGGGTCACGCCCTGGGCCTAGGGCAGCCCCAGTCCCCACCACTCCCTCCAGGTTCCGTCTCTTGCCCTCACCTCTGTAGACGCCCACACTTGATGGTGCTTAGCAGTGTCTCTTGTTCCTTGGGGGTGGCACAGGCATCATAGGCGGCCAGGAGGCTGGGGGACAGGGGCTTGAGTTTCTGAGGCTGACGGTGGCCCACTCTGGGCCAGCACCATGAGGGGCCAGGCAGAGGGGTCAGCATGGGATAGAAGAGTTGGGACACTGCCCCACTTCCTGAGCCTGGCACTCAAGGCCCCAGGCCAGCCTGGCTGTCCTCCCTCCCTGTGGGAACCCTGGGACAAAACCAGCAAAGGCTCCAAACCATCACCCTCACTCCCCTTAATGGCCCAGCCCCCTTCTCCAAGAAGCCTCTTCACCACCACGTGGGACATCTCCCTCCCTCCTGTGGCCTCCAATGCCTGGGACATTGTGTGGGTCTGCTGGCTTCCTCCCCGCTTGACCTCCATGAGCACCCTGGGATCTGTCCATCTCTGGTCTGCGCAGCCCACACAAGGCCAGGATCCCTCCACAAAGCATGGATTAAGGTGAATTCCATGCATGGAGAGTAGGGGCTGAGGACACCTAAGGGCCCTCTAGGGCCTACCTGGCAGGGGTGCTGTATCGATCCACCAGGGCTGCTGCTTTCTCCCCACTCACTCCGCGCACCTGCATCAGCTGCCGGGCAAACACTTCTCGCACTGACTGGGCCTGGGTTTGGGGAAGGGCTGGATCAGTGGGGGTCTGGGCCAGGCCACGTCCGAGAAGCTGGGCAGAGACAGTACCTTATTTTTGATGGCTCCTGCGTTGAAGTCACTGAAGGTGAGGAGTGAGCAGAGAGGGTTTGGAGAGGGCATGGCCCCCGATTCAGGGTTCCCAGGGGTTCCCCAGGGGCGGCTGCGTAGGGTGTGGCCCTGAGGGAAGAAGGGACTGAGGCCAGGCTGGAGCTCGAAGGGACAACTCCAGCCAGCCCCTGCCCAGTCCTCAGCCTCGGGGGGCCAGCCTGAGAAATGGGGATCTCACCCACCTTGCTTCTTTTGGGGATGCACAGGGCCCAGGCAAGGTGAATTCCTTGTGGGCTGTGTCCCAACACTGGGACAGGGGCCTCTGCTCACCTGGTAAAGTCTCTGCAAGCCCCGCGTCAAGAGGGCCAGATAGGCAGCTGACTCCTTAATGTCTGCTGTGCGCTTCACAAAAAAGCCATCAATGACCTGGGGAAGAGGACCCAAGAGAGGGAAGGTGGTTCCTGGCCCAGACCATGAACCATGGACCACAGCGGCCCCTGCCTGCCTGGCCCTGCCCTCCCTGCTCACCTGAGTGTTAGTGACAGCCTGCAGCAGCGTACTCTCAGGAAGGCTGAGATTGTGGACCGAGCCATGCTCTTCCACCAGGTATACCCGGCGCTCCAGGCCACAGCGCTTCAGGCGGAACTGGGGAAGTGGACAGAGTGGGCAGGGAGGGTCAGGCTGGATGACCACATGCCTGGGCGTCCATGATGTCACACTAAAAATGGTGCTATGACCCTGTTTCCACCAGTTAGCCTCTGCATCCTCCCTAGCCTCTCCACCTGCCTCAGAGGGGCCTCCACAGCTTTGCTCATGCTGACACTCTTGTCTAGAAAGCCCTTCCTCCATCTCTCAACATCCTTCAAGACTCCCCTGGGCCGGTACATGGCCTCTGTGACTAGGGGGTCCACCCAGCAGCAAGTACCAAGGTACAGCCTCTGTATTTCCAATTCTGGAGGTTTAAGCCTTGTTTATCCAAGACTGCAGGGGCTCGGTACCCAAGAGGTCTTTATTTTATTTATTTATTTATTTATTTTTTTTTGAGACGGAGTCTTGCTCTGTCGCCCAGGCTGGGGTGCAGTGGCACAATCTCGGCTCACTGCAAGCTCCGCCTCCCGGGTTCACGCCATTCTCCTGCCTCAGCCTCCCGAGTAGCTGGGACTACAGGCGTCCGCCACTGCGCCCGGCTAATTTTTTCTATTTTTAGTAGAGACGGGGTTTCACCATGGTCTCGATCTCCTGACCTTGTGATCCGCCCGCCTCAGCCTCCCAAAGTGCTGAGATTACAGGCGTGAGCCACCGCGCCCGGCCCCAAGAGGTCTTTAATATGCTCCTGAGCTCAGCCCAAAAATGCAGGTACCTGGCTTCCTACTGTGTGCCTGGACAGGCCTGTGGGGGTCTGATTCTGGAGCAACCACAGGGTGGATGTGGCTGGATTCCAAAGGGCTCTGCCTCAAGGAGGCTGCCAGAAGTGCCCCTGGATTGCTCTGGGCTGAAAAGGGGGGCCTCAGAGCAGTCAGGGAAGCCTGGCAAAGCCAGCAAAATTACCTTCTGCTCCCGGAAGCGGCCGTCAATGATGCTGCTGCAAAGGTCATCCAGCCGCTTGCGCTCTACAATGTGGTCCAGTACCAACTCCCCAGGGCTCGCTGCTGACAAGCCGGCCGTTAGCTTGTAATCCCCCACCCACCAGGCCCTGCCCCTGGCGCCAGCCTGCCCACGGCCCTTCACCTGGGTCTCTAGGATTGGTTTCCTGTGCCACCCATACAAAATCCCCAACGTGCAGCTTGCGCACTGTGTGGGTCACGTGCAGCCGCTGTAGCTCTCGGAGCAGCTCCGGCCTGTGCCCGCCCCTGGAGTGGCAAGGAGGGAATCCTAGATCAGGGCAGGGCAGTGCCTACCCCCCAGCCTCCTCCGATCGTCTACCTCATTTCTCCCCACCTCACTCACCCCCGGGTCTCGCCAATGTCCACACACAACAGCACCCTGTACTCTCCAGGCCTCAGCTCCAGTGGTGGCTGCTGGACCCCTGCTTCACTGGCACTAAGTGGGGGGTATCGGTATGTGAGGCCAGAACCCCTTGTGCTAGGGCAGTTGCCCCACATCCATGCCACCCGACACCCACCACCCACCTACAGTAGGGAGGCAGCCACAGCTCAGCTACAGGTGATGGATAGAGGTGGGGTTTTGGCCTCATTTCCCATCCCCACCTCCCTGTTCTCCCCCCTCCTCCGCCCTCCTTCTCACAGCTCTGCTGAAGCTGCTCCTGGCACTGCTGCCTCCTCCCCAGGGGGCTCCTTAGGCCCGATGCCCACATTCAGCAAGCTCAGGCCTTCTGACTCAGCTAACTTCTGGGCCAGCTCCAGGCCCTCTGGGGTCAATGAGTACCTGGGAGGCAGAGGGGAAAAATACAGCTCTCCCTTCTTCACTCATTCCTGGCAGGCTCTCCTGCCTGCCCCCAGCTGGGCTGGCCTCACCGCCCCCTTGGCGCCCTGCACAAATGACCCCAGTGGCTCCTGCTGCTCCTGGTCTTCTTGGCTCTTAGAGCAGTTCCTTGGACCTGCTCAGCTCCATTCTCAGGTCTGCAAGAAGTGTGTCTCAGACGATTTCCTTCCTCCTATCTTCACTAATGCTGTTTCCTCCTCCTCGAAATACTTATCCTGAATCTCTACCTGCCAAATCCTAAAACGTGTCAAATGCTATCTCCTCTGAAAAGTCTTTCTACTCCTCCAATAACCACGGCACCCTCCCACCCCCGCACCTGCGGTTTCACACCCTCCAGGTACTCCAACAGTGGGGACTCCTGAGGAAAGGCCCCCAACCTCAACAGCATCAGCTCTGGGAGTTGTTGAGTGACTCTAAGGCCCCACTAAGAAGTTCACGTGTGCTTTCCTGTATCTCCTGCAGTTGGCCCCACCTGGCTGGCTGGTGTGTCCTGAGGACCAGGTTCCTGTGGAGGAGGGAGCGGAGGGCTGGCCAGGGTCGAGCACTCCCAGGGGCTACCTGTGGATCAGAAAAGAGACCGTCAGAGAGCACCTGGTACCACCACAAGTCCATGTTCCCTGTGTCCCCAGCCACGGGCCACACATGGGCCCACTGCAAGAAAAGGCAGTCTTTGGTGGGCTCCAGAGCCACTTGGGCCTGTCTTCCCCAATCCCTGTGCTCACCCTGGGGGCCTTCTGAGCACACCTCTGCAGCAGCTCCTCCTTGGTTAAGAAGTGGTAGCCATTAGGATTCTGAAACCAAGGTAGAAGAGACAGGGTAGGCTCAGTGCCAGGGACCCTCCTCATCTCGCTCAGGTGGCTGGGATAATCTTTGCCTGCCTTGCCAAGGCTAGGCACCTCTGGGAACCTCCCACCCCACTGCCATGGTTCCACCCAGTGCTCACCAGGTGCTCTCGGTAGAGCATCAGCAGTATCACTCGGGCTCCTGAGTGCCGAGCTGGCCAGTAGTTGCCAGAGCCTCCCGCTTTGGACTGGGCAGGAACCTGAAAGGTACAGAGGAGCTCTGAACGTGAAAGCCAGCTAGTCATCTTCGAATAAGTCCCCAGCAGGCTTTGTGGCCCTGAGTAAGTCACTCAGTTATCTCTCAGTTTCCTTCTCTGTAAAACGGGCCAGGTGATGGGATGGCCCACTGCAAATGTGGGATGAGACAGCAGGCAGTTTCCGGGCAGCGGGTGGGGGTGTCTGCCCAGCCTGGCCTCAGTTCTACCACGCGCTGCAGAACACGTGTGATTAGACAGGAAAACTCAATAAACTCAGCCTAACTGAGCTGGGCTCCCTAAGTAGCTTGATCATGGAATTCTCTCGTTGGCTGTTACCAATATTCCTATTCACAGATTAAAATACTAAGTCAAAAAGAGGGTAAGTCATTTGCTCAAGGCCAGGAATCACTGGTGAGATTTGGACTCAGGCTTGCCAAATCCCCCAAGCCAGAAAATCATACTCCCGCACTCCCACTTTGCCTTCCGCTCCCCTTGCCCCTTTCTCACTGGCATGGAAGAGTCCTGGACTTCCGCAGGTCGCCCCTGCGGGGCTGGACTGTTCTCTCCAGATGGCGAGCCCGGGGCATGGTCACCTGCGGGAGCAGAAGAGAGTCAACTCCACACTCCACGGAATCTGGCAGCTGCGAAGGTCTGGGATGCAACCTGCTCAGATGATAAGTGAAACCGGTGAGGGAGGCTCAGGGAGCGCCAGCCACTAGCCCGAGGCCGAACGGCAACCTGGACAGGAGTGGGGAGCTTAAAGCTAAGGACCTCCAGGTGAGTACGGAAGCTGCACCTGGGGGAGGCAGGGGATCACCGACCCTTTCCCCAGACGCTCACCGCCCGATGTTCGGTGCCGCTGCAGCCGCTCGTCCAGCATCCGGCAGAGCCCGTCTCCGAAGTGCTGTAGGATCTTAGCTTCCTTCCCGCTGCGCAGCGGCAGTGGGTACCGTCGGAGGGACCGCAGCGCCTGGCCGGGCAGGGGTAGGGTACCTGGTCAGGGCAGGCCCGACCTGGCCAGCAGCTTTTCCCATCGGGCCACGCCAGGACCCACCTTCTGAAACACGAAGCGTGTGCAGCGCCCGCTGCGGGTCGCCTCGTCCCGCCACTCGGTCAGCCAGCGAACGAAGAGCGGATTGGGACAGGCAGGCAGCGGGCGCTTCCGGCCCAGGCGGACCGGGGCCGCCATGAACCCGAGGACGGGTCCTCCGGCGCCCCACGCCCGCGGGACTGGGACGCCGCCAGTTCTGGAGTAGGGATTCGAACACCTGGCCCGGGGCGGGGCGGGAGAAGAGGGAGGCCGAGGGCAGGACCGCTGAGATCACAGGGCCCCAAACACACGGGGCACTAACGAGAGGAGAACCTGCCGCCCTCCCGCCCCTGCGCTGCTCTAAGTGGTTGGTGAGGGGCGCTGTCTCTTAAACGATCTTTCCCCTCGGCCCCACTCCAGCCAGCCTTTGGGACGCGCCCAATCCCAGCCCCCGGAGCCTGGACCGACTCCTTCCTGTCACCCCAGATTCGAGAGCGGGGTCATCTTTGTGTAGGCGAGAGGAAGGCGGACAGCGCCCCCTGTGACAGGGAGGACTGGTTGGGCGGCGCTTAACGGACTAACCTGAACTTGGCCGCTCTAAGTCTCTTAAGATTGCCAGTTTCAGCCTCAAGCTTGAAGGAGGCTGGAGATGGAGACTGGTCTTGAAAAGAGTCCAGGAGAGGCGAGGGCTGGGAGACAAACGGGTGCAAACGTACTGGTGGGAAGGACACCCAGAAATGGGTGCTGGGGATGAGGACACAAAGGTAAGGCAGGAGGAGCTGCAGGATCCTTGGAGGAAATGGTCATCCTCATCCCCGGGATACAGGGCAAAGAGTGTATGGTGGAAAGGAAGTCGGGGACGTGCAGAGAAGGCCTAAAATAGGACTCGGAAGGTCGGGGGTCAGAGGCCTAGAGGAAGGAGGACTGTAAGTAAGAGGTGCTTGGGCACCCTGGCAGTTGGGGAGGCCTGAGATGGGCACGTGGTTGGGTTCCGGGGCGGAGGAGCAGGCTGCGGGTTAAGAAGCCCAGACACAGGTAGAGGGGAGAACAGTTCGTCATTTTTGTGGCTAATCGGAAGTGGGAGACCCCCAGGGAGGTTGAAGATGGAAACCCTACAAAGGGTTTCAACCTGAGAAGCCTCAAGGACACGTATAACTGAGTTGGACACAGGCGACCCGCCAGGGTTCGAAGCAGCACTCGGCATCTAGCTGCTATACCGGAAGTCGTGAGACGCAGGTCTCCAGGCTGTGAGGAAGGGAGAGGTGGGCGCCGGAGCTGCAGGCCCGCCCCTCAGGACTGTGCCTAGCCCACGGCGCAGTAGCCCCACCCGGGCTAAATTGGACCAACGGGCTCCGGCTCCCGCCTCCTGCCCGCCGCGGCCTTATAAGGAGCCTGAAGCCGGCGGTCGGGCTGACCCCGCCCCCTCGAATCTCATGTCCTAATAAGGACATCTAGGGCATCCCGCGGCTGGGGGCGGGCGGGAGCGCGTCTCCAGGGTAACTGCGAAGCCCCCTCCCTCTCCCCGTTGCTCTTGGAAACTCTAAGGCTCGGAAAAGGGGGCGCTAGCGTCTTCATGCAGGGCCGCTTGCGGGAGGCGGGGGTCAAGCTGCTGTCTCCACCTGGAGCGCCGGGAGCCCAGGCGGGGGCGGTGCAGTGGAATGTCCCCGACTACAACCCCCGGCATGCTCTGCAAGGTACTCCACTCCCTGGCATCGCTCTCCGTTTACACCCTTAATTCCGTTTATAGGATTAGAGTCCCCAGTTCCCTTTCTGGGTTTGCCTCTGGCTTGTTTGCGACCCAGTCTTCTCTTCCTGCAGAGTGTGAGGCTGTGGTCACTGTTCTAGGACAACAAAATCATCCCGGAGTCCCCCGCTCGTTTTTTTTTTTTAAGGCATATACTACCATAGATCTTGTCTCAGTTTTTCAGGTGTTAGAATAACCACGTACCTGGCTATCAACTCGAGAGCTGGGTGCAAGTCTGGCTTAATATCTATTTTTTCTCAGTGGCACGTAAAAGGCACATAAAGAAGCTTTGAATTGAATGCACAAAGCCTCGTCTTTACCCTTTATCGCCTCATGACTTTGCCAAACATCTTTAAACAAGAACAAAGCTCTCAGAGATTTGCTTGTACCTTTCCCCTGTGCCTTTTCCTCCTATTTTTATTTTACTGACGTTGCACATGGCCTTTTTTTTCAGGAGACGAGTGGCTTTGCACATGTGGAGTACTAGTGTTATCCGACCGATGACGCCTATCATACTTGTGATTTTCTTTGCTTTAGGTCGGGATTCCAGGCTAATCAATAGTTGCTTCGATTCAGAAAAGCAAAACCCTAACCTCACTCAAGAATTTCAGGCCAACGGATCCAGATAATACCAGATGGGTCTTAAGAAAGCCGTTTTGCTGCGGGATAAAGAGCCGCTTAGTCGGGGATCGTTTTCGGGTCATTTTACTGAGCGCCACCTCGCCGGGTTCAGAGCGGTTCCTGGGAAATTGGACCAATGGGCTCGCGCTGCGCGGTGCGGTGCCGCCCGGAACCCGGGCCTACATTTCCCCGCATGCACTGCAGCTCCGGGCTGGCCGGCGGGAAGACTCCGTTACCCAGCGAGCGAGCGAGGCGGCGGCGCAGGGCCCGCGGACTCCATTTCCCGTCGGCCCGCGGAGGGAGCGCCGGAAGCCCGCCCCGCCCCTCATTGTGCGGCTCCTACTAAACGGAAGGGGCCGGGAGAGGCCGCGTTCAGTCGGGTCCCGGCAGCGTCTGCAGCGCTCTTGTCTACTGCGGCTCTCGGTGCCCGCTCCTTTTCGTTTCCGGAAACATGGTGAGCGGCAAGCCACGACGCCCGAGGGAGGCGGCTGCGGGTCGGTCGCCTGCGCGCAGGAGGCGACGGGGGAGCGATGTCCGCAACCCCTCCCCCAGCGCCCCGGGCGGGATGAGGGTCTCGCACGGAGGGGCGGGCGGTGCCGGAATGCGCGTGCGCGCCCGTGGGCGCCGGGGAGGGCCGGTCTGGACGTCGCTCGCGCGCCCCCTGGGCTCCCCTCCCCCACCCGCTGGTGCGCCCGCGCGGAAACCGGCCGTGGGGGGAGGGGTCCGGGGCGCGCGCTGGCGCGCCCCTCGCGGAACGACCAGCGTCGTGCGTTCCTTAGGGGCGCGCTCTCGACTGCAGCACGCGGCGTCCAAACCCGGCCCGGGGGCGGCGAGGGAAAAGCGCGCGAGAGGTCTCGGCGCGCGCGCCCCACCCAAGGCTGTTCCTTTCTGCGCGTCACCCTCCCTCGGCAGCCGGGTCCGTCTCGGGAGCAGGTGGCAGGGATGCCTGCGCCCGGGAGGGGCGGGCGCTGGCGCGGCGAGGGGGGATGCTGGGAAGACGGGGTCCCGGTTGGGGCGTGGGTGCCTGCGATTAGGGCCTTGCACCGCAAGGCTTAGAGGGGGCATCGCAGAGACCGCGGCGCCTTCGGGAGCACATCTAACGAGCTGCGTTCTCACCCGTGCATTGGGCGAGGGCTGGAACGGCGCTGTCTGCCGGCGCGTGCGCGCACGCTCAGGCCCGGCCGCGGGTGCCGAAGCCCTGGGCCAGCCAGGCCTTCCCGGATGGGCCTGAGGGTGGAGCCGAGTTTAGGGAAGTGACCCAGTCGGGCACCGCCCGGAAACCACCCCGCCCCCTGTATACGGCCCGAGGGCTGAGAAAACCGAAGGTTATGTAGCGTGCCCAGGCTCCTGCCTGCAGCAGATAGGTCTGATACATCCGTTGTTTTAAGGTGATTCCACAGGGTTAGGGACCTGGAGATGCTGCTGCTTCTCGGGTACGCCGTTCTCTATTGGGGAGGGGGCCGGACCTAGCCGATCTCCTTTCCCCGCCTACTCCGGAAGCTACCGAGTCACGTGGCCGGCTTCCTCTGCAGTTCCGGGGAGTTCGGGGGACCAGATTTACCGTGGATTGCCCCCCCCCCCGGCTCGGGCACTGCCAAGCACGACTCAGAGTAGGAGTTTAAAGATCGCGAGGCTTCTGGGCACTTGAGTTTGGCATGTTAGTTTTTACCAGCGACTTCTGGGGCCTAGCACTATTCCCGGAAGAAGGGAGTTGTCGGGCAGGGTCCTTATTGGGGGTTGTGATTCTTGTTTTGGTTGGGAAAGACCCTAGGAGGGAACAGGGGTCGTTTGTGTAGTAACACTGCATCAAGCAGTTCTGGTGGGTTTGTTGTAACTGTTAGTGTCCTTGGGGTCCCATCTAGCATTGTGGGGTCTTGGCTCTTTCTGAAGAGGAGTCTTGGCTCAGGTGTTTGGGTCCTCCATATCTGAAGTTCTAAGTCACCAGTTTTATCCAAAGGCTGAGAGCAAATACGGTGAGTAGCAAGTGAGTCAGTAGCCGGTGGATCTTTTAATCCTGGGTTCACATTTTGGTCAAGGCTCTGCTTTTCACGAGTTTTCCATTTCTGTCCCGTAAAATGAGGGAAGGGGTTGTTGAACTAGGTGATCAGAGGCCATGGCTGCCATTCTGAGGTTGTGTCCCATCTGGTTCTTTGACAGTGGCTTGGGTGGAAAAACTAGTGACTTGCCTTGGGAAGGGCACTAGTGACCACCCAAGACGCGGACTGGGATCTTCTGAGAAAACAAGGGGCAGTTCCCTAGGGTCCTTTTCTTGATGAGGTATATGTGGCGTGTCTCCCAGGCCTCCGGTGTGGCTGTCTCTGATGGTGTCATCAAGGTGTTCAACGACATGAAGGTGCGTAAGTCTTCAACACCAGAGGAGGTGAAGAAGCGCAAGAAGGCGGTGCTCTTCTGCCTGAGTGAGGACAAGAAGAACATCATCCTGGAGGAGGGCAAGGAGATCTTGGTGGGCGATGTGGGCCAGACTGTCGACGACCCCTATGCCACCTTTGTCAAGATGCTGCCAGACAAGGACTGCCGCTACGCCCTCTATGACGCAACCTATGAGACCAAGGAGAGCAAGAAGGAGGACCTGGTGTTTATCTTCTGGTGAGCTCATTCTGGCACTACTTCTTGTCACCTACCCTCTTTCCCATGATGGGAACTTCTGTGGATCCTGGTCAACCCAGAGGTGTGGGTTTGGATTGGGAGGGGGTTGTAACAAAAGACTCCTCACTGCCAGCCTAAGGGTTTCTCAAAGTCACCTATGGCTTTGCTGTTGCTGCGAGTTGCCTGACTCATGTTTCTGTTCAGGGCCCCTGAGTGTGCGCCCCTTAAGAGCAAAATGATCTATGCCAGTTCCAAGGATGCCATCAAGAAGAAGCTGACAGGTAAGGGCCAGCATTGGTGCTGAGTGCCTTTCTGCTGTGACCTTGGCTGCAGGGTAGGGTGAACAGCACCCAGAGGGGGTCCGCCCCCTTCACTGCCTGCTTGTTCCTTCCATCTGCTTTGATTGGCTCCTTCCCAGCCACAGAAACTACCCCCAGCCCAGTGCTTACTGCTCACAGATGCTCCTCTTTCTTCCTTATAGGGATCAAGCATGAATTGCAAGCAAACTGCTACGAGGAAGTCAAGGACCGCTGCACCCTGGCAGAGAAGTTGGGGGGCAGTGCTGTCATCTCCCTGGAGGGCAAGCCTTTGTGAGCCCCTTCTGGCCCCCTGCCTGGAGCATCTGGCAGCCCCACACCTGCCCTCGGGGGTTGCAGGCTGCCCCCTTCCTGCCAGACCGGAGGGGCTGGGGGGATCCCAGCAGGGGGAGGGCAATCCCTTCTCCCCAGTTGCCAAACAGACCCCCCACCCCCTGGATTTTCCTTCTCCCTCCATCCCTGACGGTTCTGGCTTTCCCAAACTGCTTTTGATCTTCTGATTCCTCTTGGGTTGAAGCAGACCAAGTTCCCCCCAGGTACCCCAGTTGTGGGGGAGCCTGTATTTTTTTTAACAACATCCCCATTCCCCACCTGGTCCTCCCCCTTCCCATGCTGCCAACTTCTAACCGCAATAGTGACTCTGTGCTTGTCTGTTTAGTTCTGTGTATAAATGGAATGTTGTGGAGATGACCCCTCCCTGTGCCGGCTGGTTCCTCTCCCTTTTCCCCTGGTCACTGCTACTCATGGAAGCAGGACCAGTAAGGGACCTTCGATTAAAAAAGACAATAATAAAAAGGCTCATTAATGGGATGTGTGTTTCAAGGTTGGGGCCCAGGAGACTTTGGGGGGGGGTGCACTGGGAGAATGGTGCTCTCTCTCTTCTCTGTACTCCATACCCAACCAGTCCCTGCACACCCTTATCTGGCTCCAGTGATTGGCTGAGACACCTTTCTGATGGTCACCATTCTGTTGGTGGGGCTGTGATCGACACTGGACTGGCTGTTTAAGGAGGTGCTGGCCACAGGGGTGTTCTAGCGGAAGTGGTTTATGCCTGAACTGCGTGCTCTGTAGCCTTGCCTGAATGGGCAGTGAGGTCCATCTGATAGTCTTTTCTGTCCCTGCCTAGGTGTGGGCTGATAGGCAAGTCACAGGTAGCTTAAAGGGTCGGTTTGGTTTGCTGTCTTCCCTGCATGGCTGACTCAGGTTTATGAGGGTCAGGTTCAGTGGTTGCTGTGAGTCAGCCCAAGTTGAGCCTTTGACCTCCTCTAGATGTGGCTGGAGTCCTTTCAGGGTGGGGCCAGCCAGGTGGAGCCCAGGACTTCAGACCCAGGTGTCTTGAGCACCGCCTATGTTTAACCAAAAGGGTGTTGCCGGTACCCTGAGCCTTTTGCCAGCATTGCTATGGGTTGTTTCCAGCCTGTACTTTGGGCCTTCACCTGCCCAGCAGGCAAAGACATCCAAGAAATCTGGCCCTAGGGTGAGGTGAATTGGGAGTGGTAATGGGGCATCTATATCTCCTCCCTAATTAACTGAGCCGAGAAGGGAAGAGGCCGCCTGGTGTTACAGTTGGCTCCTTACCTCTCAGGAGCTTGTGAGTGGTTCTGGGAGGAAGGGCTAGATCCCTTTTCTGGTTAGGAAATAACGTGTGGAGAACTTGCGATTCATTCTTGTGCTAGGGTTTGTGGTGGTGGGGGCAAACCTGGAAGACACTTCTGGGGTTCCTACGTCCCAACTTCTGGGTGTTGTGCCTTCCCACAGGAGCTTGCTGTCACTGGAGAGGGCTGAGGATACTGCAGGGTGCCCTTCTTGGTGTCCCCAGGATCTGATCATACTGCCTTGGCAGAAGGTGTGCCTGGTGGACCCTTGAGCTGTGGGAAGGGAAGCAAGGACAATAGGCCTCCTTGCTACAAAACCAGGGTTTTTATTTGTGAAGGAGAACAGGCTGGGATCAAGAGAGCTATGATTCCTTCAAGGCCCTGGGTGGGAGAGGAGGCTGTTCCTCAGCTTCCTGGGGAGGGGTGTCGGGGTCCCTGGGGCTCTGCTGACCTGTGGCCAATCATGATACCTATGCTGCCCTGTGTCTTGCAGGGCCTGGCACCTTTGGTGGTGGTAGTGGTAGGGGGTTTGGGCTTTCCCTGGGAGGATGTGGGGCAGAGTGAGGGTGTGGCTAGTGGCACTGTGCTAGAGAAGGAGACATCTTGCCAGAGAGAGGGGTCTGGGATACCCTGGTCACTGGAGATCCCAGAGCAGGGTCTGGCTGAGCTCTGGCTGCTCTAAGGCTCCCCCTTTAGGGCGACAAGGGTGTTCCGGAGAATCAGGGTGCTGGCCTGCAGAGGAGAAACAGGTCCTTGAAGTACTCTGCTTCTTGAGTCAGGCTGCCATTCTTTCTGCACTGTAGATACCCCCTTGCTCCCCACACCCCTGCTTTGTGCAATAAGAGTTGCTGTTAATTGGGTCTTCCTACCGAGAAGGCATGGGTCGTGAGCCAGGGAAGCATGACCCCAAGCCTTAGCTAAGGCTGCTCTCATCCACACACGCACGCATGTACATGTAGACACCCACATATGCACATACACGTGTGCACATCCACACGTGCACGCACACCCTGGTGCCTGGGGGAGGGAGGGAGGGAGGTGGGAGGGCTCACCTTGGCGTGTTTGAGCTCCAGCTCTGCCAGCTCAATGAGATTCTTTCGAAAAGAGGAGACCCGGCGGGACTTGAAGTCCATGAGCTCTGGAGAGGAGGGGAAGAGGCATGGGGACTTGGGCAGGGCATGTGGCCCCAGGCTGGGGCCGGGGGGCTGCGGGCTCACCTTGCTTGGCGGAGTCGGAGAGGCGCTCGAAGCGTTGGCAGCACAGCTGCTGGTGGCTCTCGGCGGGGCGGACCTCCCGGTTCCTGGTGCGCGCCTTGTCCAGCGCCTTGTTGGCATTCTCGTAGTCGGCCAGTGCCCGCAGCCGCCGGTACAGCAGGTCCTAGGACCACGGGCACAGGGTCACTGCTGCCCTGTCCTGGCTTCCAGGCCTGAGCATTGCTCTGGGGCTGCCTCTCACCTTTGCTGCCTGTGAGTCGCGCATGTAATACCTCAGCATGTCTGACAGCTTCAGGTCCTCGTCGGAAGCCACTCGGCCCTCCAGCTTCTGCATCAGAAAGGTGGGCACTGGGAAGGGAGCTTGTCAGAGGGGCAGCTAAGGGGTGGGAGGCACCGTTTCATGTAAATAAATATCCAGCAAAGAGGCCTTAGGTAACTGTTCCAGGTCAGGTCTGGTGTTGAGGGGTGCAGGCCAGGGAAGGCTTCACAGAGGAAGTGGGATCTAATCTGGATCTCAGGGACTAAGTAAGAGCCAGACAGGGAGCCGAGGGCTTGGCAGCTGTGCAAACGCGGCTATGTGTTCAGGGAACCTTTAGTTCAGGGAGGGCACTTGGGCAAAGCAGGGAAGGGAGGCAGTGGCTGGAGCACAAGAGGCTGAAAGTGGAAGCTCAGGACTTTGGGAGCTTCCAGAAGGGGCAGGGTCTCTGAAGGGCCTTGAGCAGGGAAGAGATGCAGTCCAATAGACGTTTTAGGAAGACAGCAACACTCCAGCGACTTCTTGGGGAAGAGTGGGGGATGTGTGTACCCAGGCAGTGTGCTGGCAGCTGAGTGCAGCCTGCCAGAGATTTGGGCACATCCTTGTGCCTCCCAACTCTCCCCTGCTGCACACACGCATGTACATGCGCGCGCACCCCCCCACACACACACACGAAGCTGGATCCTTGTCTTCAGCCTAGCTCTCGTTAAACTAGTCTGGAGTGTGAGCCCAACTTGCCACTGGGCCCAAGTTATCACTGAACCCAAGATGATCCTGGAGCTCTTCCCTCTGCCAGGACTCATCTTCCCTGCGAAGATCACCAGGAAAGCTTTTGAGCACAGAAGGCAGTACTCACCCTCAGCCTTTCAAAGAGCTCTGCCAATTTGAGGAAGCTCCTAGGAAGTAGTAGGGAGGAGTTAGGGTAGGGGGCTGAGGAACAGCTCAAAGCCTATCTGTCTCAGCCCCTCCTTGGGAGTCTCCCTCTCGCCTTTCCCTCCCAACACCCTCCCCCAACAGGAGAGCCTACACCTCCCACCTAGAGCTGACAGTAGACATCTACAGAGTGACCCCTCATGGGAAGACATGGTATTACAGGCATAGGGAGAGGATAGGGGTGGAGGGAGTCCTCACGTCCTTAGCTGGTTGACTTCCTGTGTTCCCAGACTGCTCAGCGCAGCTGAGATAGGGATATAATCATCTGCCAGGCCTGTTGGGGGAACAGCCCCTATCAGAGCCCCTACATCTGCACGTCAAGCCCTGGTGCCTGTGGCCACAGACAAACAAGGCATGCCCTGCTCTCTTCTCTCCCCCAAGGAGTTGAACCACTGGGGAGAGGGGCTGTGGGATCCAGGACCCCTTGGACATTGCGTACACTTGTGGGCACGCATGACGCGGTCGGCTCGCAGGCAGGCATCTCGGATACGGGTGTGATACTCCAACAGGAAGGTCCTCTCATGCTCAAAGAAGTCATCCACCTCCTAAGGGAGCCAGGCAGGACCCCATTTACACTGGGTCACCAAGGAGCTTGGCAGCACAGGCACGCAGGGTTGGCAAAATCTCCTTCCAATCCAGGCCAGGCCCCACCAGTGGCTTCCTTCCCACACCCAGCCTGGGCCTCAATCCGTACTGTGGACTTGAGGTGCTGGATTGAATCTGGAGAGGAGCTCCAGGGGTTACCTTGAGCCCTGACATGCCCGTGATGAGGGCTTCATCCGCAGACTTCACGATATTCCTCAGAAACCCTCCGAGGAGCTCCTTCCTGTTCTTCCCCCGGACACTCAGCTGAGGCACACAGGGAGGGTATGATGCTGGGGTGGGCGTTCTCGCCTCCCATGCCGAGTCACAAGCCACTCACGGAGCTGTGACACAGGCTTGGGCCCACTGGGGCCCCTTCTCCAGCCCTGCCACCCCTGGATGCCTCCCCACCCAAGCTAGACTCCGGCCCCAGGGCCAGGGATTCGGCCCAGCTCACATCCTGTCCATATTCCAAAAACACAAAGAAGTTGTGGTCCCGACGCAGGGTGGGGTGGGCCGCCAGGCGCTGCAGAAAGACTTCGTGCATCGCAACTGTCTTCTTAAAGATGGCCAGGTACTCCCTGCGAGAGTGGCAGCAGCTCACGGGCCCTCCTCAGCCCCCATCATCCTGCCTGCCCCCTTTCTGGGGTCAGAGGTCAGGGTCTCTAAACATTCATGGGGGGATAGCTGGTGAAGATAGCTGGGGAGGGCTGGGAAAGGAGGGGGCACTCACGCTTCCAGCTCCTGCTTCATCTTGGCAAACTCTTCCCGAGTGACAGAGCTGTCCCCCTCGCCCAATTTCTGTAGCTTTTCCCTTGAAGCCTCAAAGTCTGGCCTCGGAGGGGCTGGGGGGATCTGCTCAAAGGAGGGACGGAGCTGGGAGACCTCTCACTGCCGAGACGGCCACCATAGCCTTTGGTCCTCACCCAAGTGCTCTGCCTGTCCCTCCCAGCCCCTGCCCGGCCCCTCCTCACGATGAGGCCGGCGTACTCCTCGTTCTCCACGTAGGCGTCATGCAGCCAGATGAACTCCTCGTGCTGCCGCACGACTGAGAACTCGGTCTGGGCGAAGTGAGGGAGGCAGCTCTGGAAGCAGGAAGGCCGTCTGAGGTACCCTCTCTGCCCCAAGCCCTGCCTCAGCAAGTCTCCTGGGCACCCACTTTTGGGCCCCCCTCATCCCACATCCCAGGGAGGACCAAGTTAGAGCTCAGGTGTGCGTGATTTCATTTAGAATCGTGGATGGGGATGATTAGGACTCGGGGCCTCAGGAAGAGGCACCCAGAGCCTAGTTAAGATGCTTGCTTTCCAGGAGGGGCTGAGGGCAAGTGCCAGGTGGAGGAACAGTGCCCACAGGCTGTGTTGGCACGTGCCTACCACCCCTGGGGGAGGCCTCCTGTGGGCAGCCACCAGGACCTTTCCTCGAGCCCCGCATTGCCTCACCTTGGTTTGAACAGTGAATTTCACCTTGTCCCGCTCACTCACTGCGTCAGAGATCTCCACCTGTAAGGAGCTGTCTCCCTGCAGATCCACCGATGCACAGGAAGGCTGCGGAGGAGGGGAGGTCTCTGGCCTAGCTAAGCATGGCCCCTTTGCCCTTCCTCACCCTGCAGGCCTTCTGGTCCACCTGCAGAACCCTCTTTAGCAGCACTGCTTCAGCAATGCCCCAGGTCACCAGAGAGGGGTCCTGATAAGGCACTGACCTGAGCTTTGCAACTGCCAAAACATTTTAACCCTCCCATCCTTGGAGGCAGGCAGAAAGCTTCCCATTTGACAGATATTGAAGCTGAGACAACCAGAGATGGCGGCCCATTTGCAGCTGGTCTAGTGATGTCTCCTTCCCGGATGGAGATCCCTGCATCTATCCCCTCCGCCTGGCTGTCCGGCATGAAGGAATTGACCCTGAGGTCACTGGTCACTGTTTACAGGGTTATCTCTACATTGTTTCTCCCCCTTTTTTTTTTTTTTTTGATAGTGTCTTGCTCTGTCACCCAGGTTGGAGTGCAGTGCCGTGAGGGGAAGTAAATTGTCTAAGGTTATGCAGCTGCAAAGCGACAGTGCCAGGTCGAAATCCAGTTGTTGTTTTTGTTTGTTTGCTTGTTTTTTTTAGACGGAGTCTTACGCTGCCCAGGCTGGAGTGCAGTGGAGCGATCTCCGCTCACTGCAACCTCCATCTCCCAGGTTCAAGCGATTCTCCTGCCTCAGCCTCCCAAATAGCTGGGACCACAGGCGTGCACCACCATGCCCAGCTAACTTTTGTATTTTTAGTAGAGATGGGGTTTCACCATATTGGTCAGGCTGGTCTCAAACTCCTGACCTCAAGTGCTCCACCTGCCTCGGCCTCCCAAAGTCCTGGGATTACAGGCATGAGCCACTGTGCCCAGCAAAACCCAGTTTCTTAATTTCCAACCCCATGTACTTTCTCAGTTACTTGCCCACCCCTTCCCCAGCCGGCTACTCAGGCATCCCTTAACCGGGGCTTCAAGTGAGTTGGGTGAGACATTTTCACCTCTTTTGGGGGGGGGTTGCCAAAACCATTCCATTTACTACTTTTGATGCCAAGAGGCAACAGCTTACATGCAAAGCACGTGTATTTCTTCAAATGAAAAAGATCAACAAGACACCAAGCTACTAGCTCATTCTTGCATTGAGTTATTCAATATGTATTTATTTATTTTTGAGATAGGGTCTCGCTCTGTCACTCAGGCTGTAATGCAGTGGTGCCATCATAGCTCACTGCAGCCTCCAACTCCTGGGCTCAAGTGATCCTCCTGCCTCTGCCTCCCAGGTACCTGGGACTACAGGCATGTACCACTATGCCAAGTTTTTTTGTGTGTTTTTTTTTTTTTTTTAGAAACAGGGTCTTGCTATGTTGCCCAGGCTGGTCTCAAACTCCTGGGCTCAAGCAATCCTCCCACCTCAGCCTCCCAAAGGGCCGGAAGCAACATGCATTTATTGAATACCTACTGTGTCCACACCATAGTGCCAAGTGATATTAGGGGGAAGAGAAGAGGCTTAAGAATCACTCTGCCTTTCAGCATTGCTCACCAGTATACAAGAGGCACCTGTCCCACCTCTCAATCTGGAGGCCTCCTCACTCTCTCCTCTCTCTGATTTTGGCACACTTTGGAGATGGTCCCTGAGATGGGTCTTGGTGATATGTGGGTCCAGAAACAGGCAAGACCTTGCCTGATGGTGGCCCATCTGCAGCTGGTCTAGTGATGTCTCCTTCCCGGATGGAGATCCCTGTATCTGTCCCCTCCGCCTGGCTGTCCGGCATGAAGGAATTGACCCTGAGGTCACTGGTCACTGTTTACAGGGTTATCTCTACATGGTTTCTCCCTCTTTTTTTTTTGATAGTGTCTTGCTCTGTCACTCAGGTTGGAGTGCGGTGCTGTGATCTCGGCTCACTGCAAACTCTGCCTCCCGAGTTCAAGAGATTCTCTTGCCTCAGCCTCCTGAGTAGCTGGGATTACAGGCGCGTGCCACCACTCCCACCTAAATTTTGCTTGAGCCCAGGAGTCTGAGACCAGCCTGGACAACATGGTGAGACACCCTTCGACGCCCACCTCCACAAAAAAACCTTAAAAATTAGCTGGACGTGGTGGCACATGCCTATGGTTCCAGCTACTTGGGGGGCTGAGGTGGGAAGACTGAGCTTGGGAGGTGCAGGCTGCAGTGAGCCAGGATCTTGCCACTGCACTCCAACCTAGGTGACAGAGTGAGGAACTGTCTAAAGAAAACAAAAAAAAAACAAAAACAAAAAAAACTAAAGCTAATTTTTTTTTTTTGTTTTGAAATGGAGTTTCGCTCTTGTTCCCCAGGCTGGAGTGCAATGGCGCAATCTCGGCTCACTGCAACCTCGGCCTCCCCGGTTCAAGCAATTCTCCTGCCTCAGCCTCCCGAGTAGCTGGGATTACAGGCATCCACCACCACGCCTGGCTAATTTTGTATTTTTAGTAGACATGGGGTTTCTCCATGTTGAGGCTGGTCTCGAACTCCTGACCTCAGGTGATCTGCCCGCCTCCGCCTCCCAAAGTGCTGGGATTACAGGCGTGAGCCACCGCGCCCGGCCTGGCCTATTCTTGTCTTTTTTTTTTTTTCCCTTTTGTGGAGAACAGGGTCTTGCTATATTACCCAGGCAGGTCTTGAACTCCTGGGCTCAAGCTATCCTCCCGCCTCTGCCTCCCTGAGAGCTGGGATTACAGGCGTGAGCCACCGCGCCCGGCCAGGCCTGGCCTATTCTTTTTTTTGAGACGAAGTCTCACTCTGTCACCCAGGTTGGAGTGCAGTGACGTGATCTCAACTCACTGCAACCTCTACCACCCAGGCTCATGGGATTCTCCTGCTTCAGCCTCTTGAGTAGCTGGGATTACAGGCGCACACCACCACTTCCAGCTAATTTTTGTATTTTAGCAGAGACGGGGTTTCACCATGTTGGCCAGGCTGGTCTTGAACTCCTGACCTCAGGTGATCCACCCGCCTTGGCCTCCCAAAGAGCTGGGATTACAGGTGTGAGCCACTGAACCCAGCATATTCTGGCCTGCCTATTCTTGAACTTCACAGAAATGCAGTTATGCATTGTGTATTCTTTTGTGCCCCTGTTCTTTAGAGAGCTCTCTCTATGTTGTTGAGTGGAGAAGTAGTTGTTTTCATTGCTGTGTCCTTTTTTTTTTTTTTTTTTTTTTTATACTTTAAATTCTAGGGTACATGTGCATAACATGCAGGTTTGTTACATATGTATACTTGTGCCATGTTGGTGTGCTGCACCCATCAACTTGTCAGCGGACCCGCCAGAGCTCGTGCATTGTACATCAGGTATAACTCCCAAGTGCAATCCCTCCCCTCCTCCCCAATTGCTGTTCTTATCATTACATGATTGATGATAATAATGCATGTATCTACTGGTGTGAATATCATTTGGATTCTATTCAAGCTTGGGTTGGCTATTATGAATAAAGCTGCATGAACAATTCTTTTTTTTTGTTCTTTTTTTTGAGACGGAGTTTTGCTCGTTGTTACCGGCAGGCTGGAGTGCAACGGCCAAGATCTCAGCTCACTGCAACCTCCGCCTCCTGGGTTCAAGCAAATTCTCCTGCCTCAGCTCTCCGACGTAGCCTGGGTGCGCAAATACGCGCCACCATTGCCTGGCTAATTTTTGCATGTTTTAGTTAGAAACAAGTTTCGTTATGTTAGCCAGGCTGGGTCTCAAACTCCTGACCCAGGTGATCCGTCCGCCTCGGCCTCCCAAAGTGTTGGATTATAGGCGTGAGCCACCGCCGCCGGCGACTTTATTTATTTATTATTTATTTATTTATTTATTATTTATTGAGACAGAGTCTCGCTCTGTCACCCAGGCTGGAGTGTAGTGACGCGATCTTCAGCTCATGGCAACCTCCACCTCCCAGGTTCAAGTGATTCCTGCCTCAGCTCGCCTGAGTAGCTGGGGTTACAGGCGCCTGCCACCATGCCGTCATAGATAGATTTTTGTAATTTAGAGAGCAGTGAGTTTTGCCATGTTTGCCAGGCTGCTCTCTGAACATCCTGAGCCTCGCAAGTGAGTATCGCCCGCTTTCGGCCCCCCAAAGGCCGCTCAGCAGTTAGAGTGCTGAGCCACCTCATCCAGCCATCTTTTGAGGACCTTTGAGCTAAGTCCCCCATTTCTGTTGGGTATGAGAAGGCTTGGTTCCACAGGAAGGCATAATATATGTTTAAAACACTTTAGGTAAAGTACTAGCCAAACAATTTTCTAGAGGTGACTAAAAGCGAATGTATCACGGCTGGCCAGCAGCACGTGTTATGAAAGGTCCGCAGTTGACCACTACATGCCTTGCGCAATACTTAAGAGTTGTTGCTAGTCATTTTATCCTTTCTCTCGCCTTCTTCTGTTTTTTGTTTTTTTTTCAAAGAAATGGCCTGCTGGAGGCTGGCCTTGAACTGGCTCGGAGCGAATGCGCGTGGAGTTAAGATGAGAGTCGTGCTTTTGTGTACAGCATATCAATTGAGCTATTAAGTATGATAAACTTTGGACTCTCGGTCATGCGAGTGTCCTATATAATAGATCTCACTGGCCTGATTACTGTAATCTGACAGGTGAGACTGGAAATCAGACAGTGTAAGGCCTCCACCTTTATTCTTTTTTTTCAAAATCATTTTGGCAATTATAGGTCCTTTACATTTCTACACATACTCGGCTTGTTAATTTCTACCCCTAAAAAACGTACTGGGATTTTTATTGTGATTGCATCGAATATACAGATCAGTCTGGGCACAAACCACTGTGACGGCTCGGAATTGTTAGTCTTTTTTACTTCCACCCTGTTAGTCGAGGCATGGTAATTGTGCATGGGAGTGTAACTGGTATTACCTGGTGAGGAATGATGTTGAGCGGCATTTTCTGTATTTATCAGTCATCTGCATATCTTCTTTTGTAAAGTGCCTGTTCAGTTCTCTGATTCTTTCCAGCCACCTCTTTGAAAGATCAGATTATCTGTTTTTCAGTAAGTCTTTGTAGGAAACTCCTGTTCCTGGGAGCAAGTCCATTGTGTTGATTATACGTTTTGTCAAGTATCTTTTCTTAGTCTATAAGTGTTGGCCTTTGACTCTCTTAATGGTTCCAAATGTTACAAGGCTCAACATAAGATTCTTTATTTCCTATGGTTAGCGCTTTTATGTCCTGTTGAAGAATCTTTCCTACCCCCAAAAGGTCATGAAGGATATTCCTATTTAGTTTTCCTTTTATTTTTTTTTTTTTTTGGAGGCGGCGGGTCTCCCTCTGTCCGCCCAGGCGGACAGTGCCGGCATCTCAGCTCACCTGCAAGCCCGCCGCCTCCCCAGGTTACGCCATTCTCCCTGCGCTCACCTCCCCGAGTAGCTTGGACTGAAGCGGCGCCCGCACCTCGCCCGGGCTCTACGGATTTTGTGTAATTTTAGTAGAGACGGGCTTGCATTGTGTTAAGCCAGGACGGTCCTTCGATCTCCTGACCTTGTCAGTGCGCCCCCATCCGGCCTCCCAAAGCTGCTGGGGATTACAGCTGAGCCACCGCGCCCGGCCCTATTTTTCTAGACGGTAGTCTACAGCTTTAAAGCGCTACACCATTGAGTCCATAATCCATTTCTTTTTTCTTTTTTTTCTTTTTTTTGAGAC